TCACAGGTACTCGCGCTGCTCTCGGTGCAGGTGGTCCCGGCTCTCCAGGCTGCGCTCCAGGAGCTCCCGGTTCTCCCGGCTCAGGGCCTGCACCTCGGCCAGCAGCTGCCGGTTCTCCTCTTCCTGGGCGCTCCGCAGCTCTGTCAACAGCTGTTGGGGGCAGGCAGCAGGACAGGTGGGGGTTCAATGGGGCTCAGGGTAGCTCCCTTACATGCCCTCCACTCTGTCCCCAGCCCCCAACCCCCTCCAACCCCACTCCAGCCACCACCGCCATCACACCTCACACTGTGTGGTCAGCCGGCAGGCGCTCAGGTCCAGCTGCTGGTTGGACTCGCGCAGCCGCTGGCTCTGCATCTCCAGCTGCGCCCGCTCCAGCTCCAGCCGCGCCAGCCGGCCCCGCAGCTCCCCGCGTTCACCCTGCAGCTCCCCTCGCTCCCGGGACATCTCTGCCAGCAGCTTCTGTGCCCTGTGGAGACAAGGAGAGGTACTCGGGGGGGCGGGGGGGGAGACTTGCCCCCCAGCCTCCTGAGGGCTAGAGGGCTGTGCTAGGGAGAGGCAAAGCAGGACCCCACAGGGACAGTGACTGACTCACCACCAGCCCACTTCAGAGGGCAACACTGAGAACTGGCCCAAGGGGATGGGCTGCGCCAGGGCTGGTACCTGTCGTGCTCACTTTGCAGCCTCCGCAGCTCCTCCTCCAGGCCCCGCTGCCGATGGCCGTCCTGCATCAGGCGCTCGCGCTCTGCCAGGAGGGCCAGCTCCTGCGCTTCCACGTTGGCCTTCTGGGCCTGCAGCTGCTCGTGCCTGGGACGGACAAAGGCTGAGAGGGCTGCAGGGACCTGGGGCAGGGCAGGCAGGCAGCCGGACTACCTGAAGCTGGAGGTCTGCCGGGACCTCCCCGCACAGGCCCCTGCCAAAGGCCCAGGGCACAACGCTGCCCCGTGCTCCCCGCTCCCCGTGAGGCCCAGCAGTGGAGGTGGGCACCAGGGGCCAGTGCTCCGTCAGGGAGAGAGGGGCTGGGGTCTGGGGAGACTCACCGGCCCTGCAGCTCCCGGTGGGCTAGCTCCAGTGCCCGCATGTTGGCCTTGAGGTCTCGGTGCCGGGCCAGCAGCCCCTCCAGCTCGGCCTC